GTTAGTGGGTTGGCCTAATTCTTTTGTTCACCTGATAGCTACCTGATGGCCTAATACACAGAGCACACACGGCAGGGGGAAGGGAAAGAAAAATTCCTTGCTAAAATCGGAACTGTGACAAACTCCAAAGAATGAAAGTACAGATTCGAGGACAGTCCCTAAAAGGGAGAAAAGAGAAAAGTGAGAAAATTCTCTCCAAAACCGAGATTAGACAAGCAGTTAAGAGATACAGAAATAAAATTACAATTACCACAATCCAGACTGAGAGAGACCTTGAAAGAAATACTACTAGAAAATGGCAAAATATTCTTCAGCCTTGGAAACCAACAAGAGCAACGACTGAATAGTTTGCTGTACAATGAAGGAGAAAGGATCATAATCCAAGCACAGTTAAGAGTTGAACTGAACAGTTTGTGTTGGGATTTATCAGGTCTAGGATGTTGACCATTGAGCAAAGGCAAGATGGCTAGCAGCTCTGAGGTTATGGAAGTAGAAATTACCACTTTCTAGATAAGAATTGAAAGACCCTAATCCTATAAAGTCAGGAGACAAACTAATTCCCATCACACAATGTTGAAAAACTGGCACATGAAATTGCAGAACTGCTGGTGAATATCTTTTATAAACCTCAGGGGAGAATGGATATAACTACAGAATAGCAATTGCAGTACCTTTATTTAAGAAGGGGAGATGAAGGGATGTGGTAAAGGACAGGCCATTAATCTCACCTCAGCTGCATGCATTTAGAAAAAAGTTTGAAGGAAGGACTAATTAAGATACATGAGAAAATGGGCAATGGGATGAGCGACCTGGTTTTACCATAAGTAAGCTAAAGCAAAGGCAGGCACCTGTTTTTCAATTGTCTTGAAGAAAAGTGCTCAAAAATTTGAAAGAGTGCTTCTAAGCTTCTGCTCTCTGGAGAAGATTCTTAATTATCACTCCTCAGTGGCTCAGACTTTACAGTGGCTTTGCTCAGCATTTCCCTCCAGGCTTCTCTTAAGTTTCCTGCTGAATAAAATGATCTTCAACAGTAATTTAAAATAGAGTTGTGGTCTCCTCCATGCATAACAGACACCAAAAGCTAGTTTTAATGTTGAGTCTTACTTTGATACTGCAATAATTTACATGATCGTTTCTGCAGTATTTTACCTTTAATGTTGATTATATCTTTGTGTTCCTGTAGATAAGTGTCTTTGTTCTGAAAAAAAAGACAGTGTGTACTGACCCAGGTATAACATCAGAGAGAAATTTAATGGGGTGTCATTTTGCTTCAAAGAGAAACCACAGCAGTGAATGTTTTTAAATGCTTTTAGAGCAATCTTCAATCTACATTGTCATGAACAAGTTCGTCAAGTAAGCAAAGCGAAGAGACCATTTTTCTGTGAATGTTATGCAATTTAATTGTAGTATCTTAGAATTATTTAGAGTATGTTTACACTAGGCCTACTTTTACGAGTCTTGTATAGTGTATAGAGATACCAGAGAAAGTTGGGTTGTGTTAGGTTATATGCTTGCTCAACCTGCTTGCACTCTCCAGTTCAGCTCAGATTTTTGTGCAGGCACACACAGTGCCACTTCTGCTGGAGCATGGGTGATTGTAGTGGATGTCACTTCGAATCATACCTGACTTTTCTGTTTCTTTAAATTGCTAGATCTGCATGCAACAGTAACCATACACTGATAAAAATACTCAAAGTAAGGGAACTAAATGTTTCTTAGAAATTGCTGTAATCAGCAATATATGCTTAAAATGTGTTTTATGTCAGTTTACACTTTTTGCACTATGTGTAAATGATCCTTATGCATTTTGAGCTGCTTAGCATATTGCTTCATCAGAGAACTTTAATTGCAAGATCCTCATAGCCATTAAAGTTTTTGATTCTGAAGACATCTCTGATTAGCTGCAAATTACCTTGCAGACCACCAAGAAACAGAACTGGAGTTGCTGCTTATAAGTAGGGGGAAATGGCATCATTAACTTCCATCTACCATCTACATATTTTAGTTTAATGAGACAAAAATGTTTGCTAAGAAGGGCGGGATAGGAGAAAAACTAAACTCCTCCTTTTGAGTGGCTACTGTGTTTCTGGTGCGCAGGAGGCAGCTGGGTCAGTCCAAGACAGCTCCTGGGGTTCCTCCTGTGGACTCACACTGTCAAAGGCTGGTTCTGGCTGGGATCCCCTTCCTCATCAATGGGTGCAAGCTGCCACTGACATGGCAAAGCAGGAGGAGAAGGGCAGCCTGTCCCCTCGAAGGTTCCTCTGCAGATGGCGCTCGCTTTCCGATGAATCCGAGGCAAGTCCAGGCGGTGGGCAGGAGGAATTGGAGGTGAACTGGGACCTCCCTTCGGGGCCAGGAGAAGCCAGTGACCTGGCCAAAAAGTGAACCTGGAGACCCTCTTCCCACACCATTCCTTGAGTCAAGGAAAAAGTAAAGTGCAGTCCTACCAGCAGAAAAAAAATGTACCTCCCTCCTGCTACTGTCTCCCAAAGCCATTAGTTTGTTATGGGGGACTATGAGATAATCCTTTTGTGTGTGGCTCTGTGCTGGCCATCCCTTCAGACCCAGAGAATCCAGTCAGCTAGCCCCCTTCCCCCTTCCATTGCTCAACACCTTTCTTTCAGAGTGGTAAAGGGAAAAAATTCAAAGCAGGCTTTTTTTCTTTAAAAACGAAAACCTATGACACTACCCCATGAAGCAGCAAGACTTCCTGAGAGGCTTTCAGAAGGATTCGGAAGCATCAAAGGGTGCTCATATGTGTTGAGTAGTCTTGGCTTTTACATCTAACTCCTGCTTGCTGGAGATCAAGTAGACACTAAGGAACAGGACTGGTACTGCCCAATGGCTGTGCTAAGCTATAGAATTGTGTGTCCCTTGCTCAAAAGGGCTTGCAATGAGGGAGAGAGGAGCATGGAGCTTGTTACGGGTGTAAGGCTACAGTCACAGCCATTAAGTGGTAATTTAAACTTCCTGATCATAGTAGAATCTAGTAACAATCAGAAAAGTTGCAATCTTCTTTTATCTTAGGCTATACAACTAACTACACATGGTATGTGATTTTTCCTGTTTTGAATTTCAATCAGCTGGTAGCAAATGTCTTTATTTTGTACTGTCCCTTACAGTCTCCTGAAACATATGTCTGCACTTCCTAAACTCAGATTTTGAGTCTCGTCTGTCTTCCTGACAATGTTTCTTGTTATCAAATGCCTGGGGGAAAAAAAAATTCCCCTTTAATAATTTCTGTCTGTCCATGGTATAACCTTGATACATTCTAGTTATATTTCTCTTGTCTTTTAGTCTCTCTGCTCTACCAGATGTCATTTTGCTCTTCTCAAGCTAAGGAAGTAAAACAGTTAAAAAACAATAGAATACCCCAAATATAGAAGAGGACAGAATACCAGTGCATGTATGTGAGAGCTTTAGAAAACAGTTATTTTCCATACCTAGCACAGCTGACCATGTGCTTCTGATATTAATCTGACGTGTAACTGGGAGGGGTGCATAAGGAAGAAAGGATAAGAGGAAGTGTAGAACAGCAGTATGTCTCTAGACTGCTGCAGGGGAATCAGCTACTCAGGGGGAAAATATTGCATTGTAGTAGCTTTGCCTATTCCTTTTCTTTTTCTTTAGGTAGGCATATTTAGAAGATTTGCTTCCTGGTAAAGTTTGTGCATTCCAAATTACCTAGGCTAAGGAAATGTTAAACACACAGGTTGCATTGATTGATTTTTTTTTGTCTTTTCATTATTAAGTTTTAGTTATATTAACCTCAGAATTAATTTCAATACTTTCATTAAATTCAGATTTATGAAGATCTCTGAGACTGCTGTAAATTTTGGGTCACTATTTGTTGTCATCTTGATTTTTATAACCCGTTTATTAAATCTAGGTTTTATTGTCTTTTGATGCTTGATGTTTTCTAAAACAGATTGAAAGCTGGGTGAAAATTTGTAATAATCCTGATAATCTGAATATTGCCTGGTGGCTTCTAAATTCATTCTGACTTTAGAGATATTACTGTTTTCAGCAATATTTAAAGAGCAATATGTCAAGCGGACAAGGTGGGAAAAGGAATGAAGATATAATAAATCTCTTTCATAGTATGTTGACCCTGCACCCACAGGCTTGCTTGCCCACTTCACTCCCATTCCCACCCCTGCAAGACGTGGGAGAGAATAGGAAGATCTAAAGTGAGAAAGGTCATTGGACAAGATAAAGATAGTTAATAGGTGAAGGAAAGAAATGATGCAAGCACCTACTGGTCATCTGTCAAGGACAACCTTAAGAAGCAGATATTCCTGTAATACCAATTTCTAACATTCTTGTCTTTTCAAGTATCTTTCCACTGTGTCAGGAAACACATACTAGATTTTTAAACACAGTGAGTAGTAAAAAAACCATTGTACATTTTTGTTTTAGATTGTGACTTGTCTTTTCTGTGCATTTTCTAACTGACTTTAGATAGTATTTCAGATGTGCCCATTTAAGACACTCAGCCCTCTTCAACAAATCATGCTCTGATTTACTTAAGGACGAACTTTAATTAACTCTTTTTCTACTCTGCTGTGAGACAGATTGAGGCCTATATATTCGAAACAGCCCAAATCTCCATGAAACCCTGTTTAAGATATGTGCGTCTGTATACCACAATCATATGTACTTAACATTCTGGATTTGTAACTGGGCATTAGCTTAATATCCAGCAAGACCATAATCTGAAAAATAAAGGGACATTTAAATAATCCACATAGTTAGTTTAAAATTCAGTACTAGATTTATTTTTATTGAATTACAGCTTTGCATGTAGTCTATGAGCTAAAAAAGTTTATCTAAGTGGAAAGAAGTATGCATAAATTAAACCATTAACAACAAAAAAGGCTAATGTGTGCTGCATGTTGATGTTTCTGTTTTGTAAAGCCTATAACTTGTTGCTATAAAAGTATGAAAAATGCAGAGCTTTTTGCATAGTAACTGAACTTATGTATTCTGGTTTTACTTAGGCATTTAACAGCCTTTACCTATTCACAAGGAATACAAGAGGAGTACTAGAAATCTCATTTCCTACTTTCGTGAACAGTGGGAATGAAGAGGAGCTTCTACTATGTGACAAGTAAAGTTTCCTTGGTATCAAGTGAAAGAAAGATTTCTCTTCAAATGGCTGTACTGATTTACTGGTAAAGTTTCACATAAAATAATCCTTGGCATAATGTGGCTCATGTTAAGAATTTTGTGAAAGACAATGCACCCTAACAAATGTTTGTTCAAACCATTTCCAATGGATGTAAAAAAGGAATGCTGTAGATTCAGTTTGGGCTATGAGGAAACATGGTTGAAATTGATGAGGTTATAACTGTGATTAATATACCTAATTACTGGTAAAATGTTTCTTAATAAAGAATGATCATACTGTGTCAAAAGTTATCGAATTTAAGCCATAAGGGAGATACAATGATGAAAGTTAAGTTTGTCCCACAGTTGTAATTGTGCTATATCTGAGTACTGGAGTGTACCTACAAGTACATCTAGTGCACTCCCCTGGTCGGTCCAGGGCCTCAATGATGTGTCTGCCTAGGTGTGACAATCAACTGGTTTGAGACAATGGGTCATCTTGATTTCTGAACTGTAACCACATTCTCAACAAATTATTTGTCTATCTGTTACAACAGGTTTTCAGGCAGGAATTTCGAAAGATCCTGGAGGTTTCCTCAGGCAGTTGTTGCTGTGTCTGGATCAATTTTGTGTCACAGTGTGCTGGTGTAAATCAGCATCAGAGCTGAGTGAAGAACCTGGCATACTAGAGGGCCTAGGTGATTTCTCTTGCAGAACTGACCAAACTGGACATAGATGAGACACCATAGAAACTGTTCTTGTAAATGCAGAAATGGTCATGGACTGGGGCCAGAGCCCAACATCACCCCCTGCCGACCACCACAAAGCAACTGCAGGCTCTGTGCCTCCAGTGATCCAACAGTGCTCCCTGCTGATCGTGGTTAGAATTGCACCAAGAGGAAAAAAGTACTGAAGTGGATTTTTTTAGTGGGAGTCCTGGTTCAGTACTGTTGTTTGGTTTTGTTGTTTTGTCGTGCTACCTATACACATATATCCTTTTGTTGTGGTTTTGTTCTGGGTTAATTTGCTTTCACACTTTCCATGCAATTACTATTAGTTGAGAGAAGGTTTATGCAGACAAAAGAGACAGGATTTGGGGGAAATAGTATGAATATTTATTATTAGTAAAATCAAAATAAAAACTACTACAGAACTATATCTATAACAATTTTACTTAAGTAAAAGTACTATGTATTTACAGAAATACTTTTCCTCCCTTTTATATTAGTTCAAGGAGGAGAAGTAGTCCTTTCTCCATTTTTGGAGTTCTAGGTTTCCTTAATAACTCTGTAGTATTTTTGTTGCGGCTGGAATTCTTTCATTTCTCTTTTGTTCTGTGTTGGCCTCCAGGGCTGGGCCTACCCCCCTCCTGGGCTAAGACCGGAGGTTAGGCGGTTACCCAGGTTCTGAAGGTGTTTCTTTCCATAGGCTTGCAAGGGGACACTTGCTTACTGTGGATCTTCTGCCACGGAGTTACAGGGGATAATGGCTTATAAGTCCACTCCTGTTCCCTATGGAGGTTCCTTCCCATGGGAGAACAGTCCTTGATAAACCTCTCGGCATGGGTCTAGCATGGATCCCATGTATGGATCCCAACATCCTTACCCGAGCTGTTTTCTGCTCCACCGTAAGGCTTTCTTTCTTTTTCAAAGTCACAAATCTTCAGTAACAGCATGGATCTTTCACACAGATTCCAAGCTTACCCAAGTCGTTCTGCTCCAGCGTAAGCCTCGTCCCTTCAGGGTCATAAAATCTTCAACAGTAGCAACATGGATCTTTCACTGAGATCCCAACACCTCACTCAAGCCGTTCTTGCTTCAGTGTGAGGTTCTCTTAGGGTCACAAAATTTCCAACAGGACTCTGTCTTATCTCAAGTCTCTCATGAAGTCTCGGCTTCCTCATGCATTATCTTACTCCAGTGTAGGTTCTTCCACGAGCAGTACGGGGGTCTCCTCACCCCAACAAATTTCCATAGGTGGCAGGGATTTATTTTTTAGTCTTTACCCTGCTGAAGGGAGAGCGTGAAGGGGGGGAGAAACAGGCCCCCCTTCGCATTTCTCTCTCCTCTGGCTGCCAGCTTTGACCTTGGACACTCCATTATCTCTTTGCTGGAATTTCTTCTGCTGTGGTTTCTGTCCAAGATGTTAGTCTTTTAAACTTTTTTTTCTTCACTTTCTTACAAGAGAGAAGGGAGGCTTCAGTGCTACACCTGCCCCTGGCTCAGGGCAGGGGGAGGAGGGGGCCTTGCCCTCCTCAGGCCCACCACCTCTCTTCTACATGGCTGCCGTTCCTACTGTGCAATTCCCTTCTCTTCCGTTTTCTTAAATATGTAATTAACAAAGGCGTTACTGAGAGTTTTAATTGACTTTTTGTTCAGAAATCCACTTGGACAAAACCATTCTCAGCCCCAGGGGCTGGCTGGCTGGGCAAAACCATGACACCTTTAATAAAGGGCTGTTATCTTTTCTTTCTCCATATTTCCTCGACTGAAGCCTCTTAATTTCAGATTTACAGTTGGTTAGAGGGAGGAGTTTGATATTCCTCATAACTCGCCCTCCTTAGCAAACACTTCTGTGTCATTAAACTGAGACATAAATTGGCATCCAATGTAGGACCCCAAGAGAGGAAAAGTGGAAAAGCAATAACTGCCCTTTTGTGATTTACACGAGTATTGAACCCATAGGCACCATGATGCTCGAGGCTGCTGCTTTCCTTTGCCATATAACCATGCCAAAAGGCCTGTCCAAACTGTCTATTTGTTTCAGCTCACTTATTAAGACCCTCGTAGCGATAACTACCTTCGAGGTTGTGTGCTTGGTTTATGACATGGTGAACTCAGCACCTATGAGTCTCTCTCGGAATATGTCCTCAAGGCTGCACTCCTGCTCTAGCCTAAACTGCTTCCTCTGGGGACTTAAGGATAATGGCACCCCATCCTTGTGGAGAAACACAAGGGGGTATGTTTACCCAACCTTTCATCCATTTCCCCTTTGGATCAAATACAATCGCCTCTGAAAAGCTTAAATTTTCTTTAGATGTCAGAGACGTTTTACTTTTCAGGCTTTGAGTGCAAGATTGTGTCATCATGGCCTATCTAATATATGAAGCTAGGGCCAAGAATTATTGAGAATGTGTCCAGAAGCCTGTTCCAGGGGTGGGAAGCCTCGAGTGGCATGGGTTGTGGGAGGATATGGGCAAACTCCTAGGAAATTGTTCTACTCCTACAACATGGAAGCTCACCCTGGAACAACTCCTAAACCCTACAAAAATAATGAAAGTTGTGAGGGAGAGAGGTCATGGTAGACCCATGGAGAGGCAGCTGGCAACTGCATGTGGGGCTTTGGCCATTGCCAAAGCTGCTCTGTATGGTGCAGCACTTACAGGGAACAGGAAAGGATGAAAATGAGATGCCTCATACCATGGTGACTCAGGATATGGCCAAACCAAAGGAACAGACTAAGCCTATAGAGATTGCCCCTTTCTAAAAGAGGAAAGATAAGACCGAATCTATTTGTCCAGCTGACTATTATGGGGAGGCAGGACCCTCACAGGTGGCAGGCCCAAAGCCAGAGATTATCACTTAATCCTTATCATATAACAACCTCCGGAACTCATGAGGGAGACATTATTCATCACTCGAATGAGACCATTTTGGCTTGGATGATCCGCGTTTGGGACTCTACAGGTGATGGCATAAACCTAGATGGCAGTGAAGCAAGGTTCTTGAGGTCTATTGCCCAGAATGTGGGTATTGAGGAGGCATTTGTGAGAGAATCCAAGTCCCCATCTCTCTGGGCATGACTTCTGGAGGGTGTTAGGGAAAGGTTCATTTACAGAGATCCCTTGCAGGAGCACCATTATGCAAAGGGCTGGAAGATCATAGAGGAGGGGATCCTATGCCTGAGGGAACTGGCACTGTTGGAGGTATTTTTGTGAGGGATGGGCAACCCACCAATGATCCTGACAGGGTTAGGTGTACACCCCTGATGTGGTGGAAGCTCACACGCATGGAGGCGCCCGTACACACCAGTTACCTGACATCATTAAAAGCTGGGGAGAAGCGAGAGCCAGTGATGTCTGTATTAAATAAATTTTGCATGTATGACAGTATGATCGAAGGCCTGCTACAGGCCCATATCTCCACTGTAGAGACATTGACTAATGACCTCAAGACACTAACAACACAGATGAAAGATAAACAGGAGAGACTGAAAGAGAGGATTGAGGGAAACAGCTTCCATATGGCAGCAGTGCTAACTACATGCCCTCCAGCTAGAGAGAGCAGACAGATGTCTCCAGTAGAGCTGTGATATTTCCTAGCTGACCATGGAGAAAACATGAGATAGTGAAACAGGAAACCCACCCATGTTCTAGCAGCCCAAGTGCAAGATCTGAAGGAGGGAGGAAAAGGGAAGGTAGTGAAAGTGAGTGCAGTACTAGTATCCTATGGGCAGGGACCTGACCCACTAGAAGGTACCTCTCATCGGGATTCACAGGTAGCCAGGTAGAGGCACGGGACAATTATGTCTATTGGACTGTGTGGATCTGATGGCCTGGTACGTCACACCCACAAGAATACCAGGCTTTGGTTGACACTGTTGCTCAGTGTATGTTAATACCATCAGCACATATGGGGCCGGAGACTATTTCTATCTCTGGGGTGACAGGAGGGTCTCAAGAGTTGACAGTGCCCGAAGTAGTGCTGAAGTAAGCTTGACTGGGAAAGACTGGTAGACACACCCCATTGTGAGTGGCCCAGATGCCCCATGTATCCTGGGCATTCACTAACTCAGGAACAGGTATTTCAAAGACCCAAAGGAACACAGACGGGCTTTTGTAATAGCTGACGTGGAGGCAGAGACAGCTAAGCAGTTGAATTTGTTACTTGGCCTTTGGGAGAATCCTTCTGCTGTGGAATTGTTGAAGGTTGAGGAAAAGCGAATGCCAATTGCCACTACAATAGTGCATCGTCGGCAGTACCAAACTAACTGAGATTTTGTGATCCCCATCCATAAGATGGCCTGTGAGCTGGAGAGCCAAGGGGTGATCAGCAAGACCCTCTCCCCCTTCAACAGCCCCATCTGGCCTGTGCATAAGCCTGACGGAGAATGGAGATTGACTGTGGACTATCGTGGCCTGAATGAAGCCACCCCGCCACTGAGTGCTGCTGTTCCAGACACGTTGAGCTCCAGTACGAGCTGGAGTCTAAGGCAGCGAGGTGGTACACCACTACTGACATCGTGAATGTGTTCTTCTCCATCCCCTTAGCAGCAGAGTGCAGGCCGCAGTTT